TGGGGGTGGTGGGGAGTAGCTGGTCTCAGCTGTTGGCTCCTGCCAACTCTGATTGAATTGCTTCTACTCTCCTCGTATAAGAATGCGTCGTAGCAGCCCCCTGCACTCTTCATCACCCTTCATCCCCCTTCATCCCCCTTCGAAAGTTGGGCTTCTGGGGATGGTGTCCATACGTCACGCACACAGCACACTTACGCCCATAAGAGTTATAATCTTCCGAACGTGTGTAAAGTTAGCGACGCCTTGAGCTGCGATGGGCTCGGTAGTCGTTATGCCAAGTTAAGCCAACCTTAGAACTCGAATTCCAGACAAGCCGAAGGTAGTCGGTCCACGTCGATCCGTGTGTCTTTCTTGAGAGATCGAAAACAATGCCTCTGGCAAGGCACACGTGTCACTGCATTACAGTATGCTGGCTACATGCACATGCAATACATATATTTTACTTTTATATCTTAGTACATAGCTACGTTATTATACATGTATATAGTAAAACGACGTTTGATTTACTCGGACCGGCTATAGGTTTCAGCACATTTCGAAGCCACATAAGTACTGGTGTTGTCATCCGATTGGTCGACCCTTATAGACCCTTATAGCCGACAACTGTTAGCCTTTCCCTCGAGTCGTCCCTTTAAACTAAATCGAGGGACATTCCTTTTCATTCGTTAACGAATCGATACGTAACTCTTCCCCAGGGCGTCGGACGACTGCGAGTCGATGCTCCGGTTGGACAGGCGCTCCTTTCAGGATGAAAGAGCAGGATGCGTAAGGCGCCAGAGAGAGTTTTCATCGTTCATTGCGGATGCTGGCTACATTCGCTTCTACTTCCGCTGGGAGCGAAGGAGTCTAGGTGGAAGCGCGAAAGGGTTGGCGCACTGCCGCTGTAGAGGAAGGTCGTCTCAAGCGGCGACACGTTACCCGGCCACAACACGTTCTAACGTTCTGGCGATGGGGTGAGCCAAGTGACGTATCGGGGTGGCATGTGCTGCTAACTTTCGCGTCTATCAACGGCGTCACACGCTTCTCGACCTCCCGTGGGGTGGTTGGCATTGCGTACATACGCGTTACCTGCGAGTAGGCGCACCGCGCGCATCCTACCCCCCCGGAGACCGAGGCAGGGTTGGCGCACGCTGACACAAAAAAAAAGGAGAAAGAAACCTCGACATATTTATGGAAGTGTCGTTGCCAGCAGCAAAAAGCAATCGCGGAAAGGGAGAATCCGCAACCGGGAGCAACCGCTTATAGCTATAGACGATCCGTGGAATTCCTTGGTGCGACGCTCGAATCTCGACGCTCGGGCATCGACTATTGTTGCTATTGTACAGCCTCCTCTGCTTCGAGCCTCAGCTCCAGCTCGGTCGCGCGAGCTCTCTTCCCTCTACCCCCGACGGGAATGCTAAGGCCTAACACTGTGCCCACGGCAGAGTCCCATGGCACCGAATAAAAGGGCATGTGGATATGTGGATATGTGGATATACAACGAGAGTGGCGCCAGCTGGCCGAATTTTTGGAATCACGTACCTCGCTAACGAAAGGAAGCGTCGAGCTCTTTTCCAGTCGCGGAAACGGGCATTTCCATCGTTCTCTCTGTCG